CACGGCGGCCCAGCGAGGAGTGGAGGTGACCCGGGCGTCATCTCTGCCCGTGTGAGGCCTTCAATGCCCTGTCCGGCCCAGGGCGCCCAGCGAGGAGCCGCTCGTGTCCCGGCTGGAGGGGGTGACCCTGCCCTCCCGCCTGCCTGGGCCCCTGCCCGTGAGGAGATGTGCCCAGGAGCTCCAGCTGCCTGTTCATGAGTGGCCACACACGGGCCCTGTGGGGCAGTTTGATGTGGGTGTGGTAGCATCGTTTGGACGTCTCCTGAGTGAGGACCTCATTCTGCAGTTCCCATAGTAAGTGAGCTGGCAGGACATCTGTTACTGCTTCGTTAGCAGAGCTAGACTCTGGTTTTGAGTCAGCACCTGTGACTTGTAGCGGGTGAGGTCAGCTTCTTCCCTGGGCTCATCTACTTAGTCTGAGTCCTGCTTCTGTTATTGTGAGGTTCACTCTTGTTCACTGACACGGTGATGTAAATCTATGCAGGCATTCAGCATAATGCGTTTACAGAATCACAGAATCATCCAGGTTGGAAAAGACCCTTGGGATCATCGAGTCCAACCATTAACCCTACTTACAAGTTCACCCCTAGACCATATCACTCAACACCACATCCAAGCGATGCTTAAACACATCCAGGGATGGCGACTCAACCACCTCCCTGGGCAGCCTGTTCCAATATCCCACAATTCTTTCCGTGCAGAACTTCTTCCTAGTGTCTAGTCTAAACCTACCTTGTTTAAGCTTGAAGCCATTCCCTCTAGTTCTGTCACTAATTACCCGAGAAAAGAGACCAGCACCAGCCTCTCCACAATGTCCTTTCAGGTAGTTGTAGAGCGTGATGAGGTCTCCCCTCAGCCTCCTCTTCCTCAAACTCTGCTCCCCTTTTCAGTGTTCACTGAGAAACTGAAGGTTATGTTGTGTGACTTTAAATGTATATTTAAACCGGTAACAACCTGAGAAGGTCTGGGGAACTAATTCTTAAAGTAGTTTCATTGTAATAAATGTTGCACACCCATTTACATATGCTTCAGGTACTCTTCCTGCTTTGACTTTAAAATATTTCACTTCAGTGGCGTGCTGAACATCCATCCCAGCTGCCTCCCGCGGTGGCGTGGTCCTGCACCAATAGTCCACACAGTGCTTCATGGTGATAAAGTGACTGGGGTGACAATTATGGAAATAAGACCAAAAAGGTAGGTTAGATGTGCTTCCCAAAACAACCCACTGCTTCTGTTGCCTCCCAGAACTTTAAATCATCACTAATTAAGTCACCATTTAGATAATTTTATGTAATCGCTGTTTTTTTCTAATGCATGTGTGTGTTTAATGCTAAAATTTGAAACGCTTAGAAACTTTCACCTGACTATATGAGATTTACACAAATATGGTGTTTTAGTGAGTGCTTAATTTGCACCCTAGGCCCCTTCTGTCATTCTTAGCGTTATTACAGGGAGCAGACAGAGATCAGCCAGGCACACAGCTAGATGGAAAGGCTTGGTATGACAAGAAAAGATCTGGTGACAGAAAAGATCTGGATTTCAGACTTCAGAGTCACCTGTCACCTCCTGTAAGTAAAGCAGAGGACAAGCAATTGCCTGTCTAGGGTTGAGAGAGAGATTATGTGTTTTAATTTCAGCACAAACTCTAGCTCAAAAGGCTTATGAAAGCACAGTCTAGGGTTGAGAGAGAGATTATGTGTTTTAGTTTCAGCACAAACTCTAGCTTAAAAGGCTTATGAAAGCACGTTATCATAATTTTCTTTTATTTTTTAGATGCTTGTCTGATAATAGGTCTCAGGAATGTGTGAACCAAATTTCTTCTAAATACCTCAGATTGTTTCTTTTGAGATTTTGTGCTTCCAAACTGTAAATTGTGCATTCAGTTCAATCTGAGCTTGCTGAGGTGAATCTTTCTTGCCAAGATATATCCAATATTCTTTTCTCTGTGTTGTCTTGTGAACCAAACGTTATTTGATAACGTGCGAAAAATAACATTTTGGAGGAAAAAAGGGAAATTAGTAACCGAGTTATCTTATTGAATGTAGCCTTTTGAACGGCTAATTGAGTTATGGCTGACATGTGATTGAGTGTAGCTTCTCCAGTAAGCTTGTCTGTTTTCTGCCTTACAGGTTTGATGTAGGTCCAATTATTAAGCAAGAGGAGTTTGCTGTTCCTCCCCGCTGCACTGCAAAGGAGCTGGAAGGGATGTTATCAAAGATGGGCGCAAACATGGTAAAGTCTTGCGAGATAGTGTCGCTTCTGATGAGTACCTTGCTTTTGATGTGTGTGAACAGAATCCTTTTTAATCCTGTTCTGAGCTGACTGCCGCTGTTAAGAGTAGAACGATCTGAACTTAGTGTTTGTGAGCCCTTTGCCTTGCTGAGGGGAAAGCTGAGGGGTCTGTGGTGTCGGTGTTGTTTCAGTCCGTTGCCATTCCGTTCCTGTTCTGGGAAGAACTCAAGTGCTTTGTATGGAAATGGTGCAGTTTCTTCTTTTGTTGAAGTGAATGCCTCCTTTTTTTTGGGTCTTAATAATTAGCTTTCAGCCTGTTCTAGAATTAATATCATAGAGGAGATTGTCCATAAAAGAATACTTGAGTTTTTTTGATTGTGATTTGGTGGGAAGGATGCCTTTAGTGTGTTTGTGTGTGTGATACAAGTAGTTTGAAATTACTGACTCAATTTTCTAAAAGCCCACGAGACAATTTCACTGATGAAAAATTAAGCACTGTATTTGTATGTCTTGGATTTACTGTTACTGTTAATAAATATACTCAGCCTTGCTAATAATCTGTACAATTTTTATTTTTGCAGCTGATAACAGTTTTGAAAAACTTGCCTGAAAGTTTAAAAAATAAAAAGGAGCAACCGAAAGAAGGAGTGACCTTCGGTAGGTACACGTCGTATTTAATGAAAGTCACTCATTTTTTTTCTTCTGTCAGCTGGAAAACTTAAGTTTCTTCCTACTCTGCTGGGTTGTATTTTTTTAGATACTTTCCTTGACATGGTCTCCTCACTGCCTTCTCTGGCAGAGGGAAAAACGCTTTAGAATTCTTCACTCTTACCACACTGATGTGTTGATTTTTTTTTTCCAGCTGCCTGTACAAAAGCAAAATCAGTAGCGATGTCACAAAAATCTGAGTGTTAATTCTTGATGGTTGTAATGCAAATAAAAGTGTTAGAGCTGTGCTTGAAAATACATGTCATCGGTTTGCTGTGCAGTGGGTAAATAAGAAGGCAACTGAGAATAGGGTATAAATAATCCAGATTTTATAAAATCTTGTCTCTAGTTGTTGGCTAAGGCACCTGCGGCTGGATGATAAACCTGCCATTGGTCAGGATAAAATGAAGTTTAAACCAGGATAAAACGGTACAGCTGTTTGTTTGCAGAAAGATGCCAAACAATATCAAGTCTCCTGATGTGTTTTTTTCCCCCCCAGCTCCTAAAATATCCATAGCTAAGAGTTGTATAAAGTGGGAAGAGCAAACAGCTGCACAAATAATTCAACTGCATCGTGCAATAGGAAGTATGGTAAGACAGTGGATTTTTTTTTTAAACCCTTTTCTGCCCTGTAGCATGTCCGAGTTTGGCATAGATATTTTAAGTAATGGCTAAAACCAAAGTTTAGGTTTTTTTGGCTCTAAAACCTGGTGTATGCTTTAAAATCCCAGCTTCACTTAGCATGGAGGAGAATTTTCATGAACTTGATGCCAAGTGTGCAGTCAACTCGGTAGTTTTGTGTTATTTCCTTAGCTCTGGGATTTCCCCAGAGGCACTCGAGAGGTTATTGGAAACACCAGAACGACATTTGTCACGTAGTGACAGTAAACAGTGCAAAGAGCGACAGCAGACAGTTGGTGTAGTGAGTTGCTGAACTTATCACTGCATATGCTAATGGTCTGCTTGTCAGTGACGAAGAACAAGGAAAACAAGAGACTTTCCTTATTATATCTTGTCTGGACACAGGCATAATTTTTTTCCCTTGATGTTGTTACTGCGTGTGTCTTGCATAAGAAAAAAACCCTGGCCAGTTGCCTGGAAATCATGTAAATATTGTAAATATATCATCTGCTTCTGCTTCCAGTATCCTCTGCAGACACTCTGGAAGGGTGCTACTGTTAAACTTCTGGATTTTGTGGAAGTGGATACTATCCCTGGGTTTTCAGGTATTTACTTTTAAATTAATCTGTGACGTTTTCCTTGCACAGATCTTGCACAGTTGTTCTAAACAATAGCTTTAAGCACTGTTTTTCTGAAACACTGTTGGAACTAAATCAATCTCACATAGGCTCAGAGTAAAATAAGTTTCTGGGCCCCAAGATGAGCGTAAGTCGGGTTTTAGAACATTCCTGCGTTGTGGGAATGTCGAGAGAGCGGCAGGTATAGTCCTGTGAATCCTGAAACTGGAGGATTTTAATCCTTTGAGTCAGGAGATCCTCTCTAGGGGAATGTCACAAGCAAAGCTGTCCCTGCCTACTCTTGCTCAAACTATTTTCTGTAGTGGTCCGTGAGTCCGAGAGCCTGGTGGGTTGCGTGGTGTGCCAGAGCGTGCAGGGCTTACGGCTGATTATGGGTCAGGTCAGGGCTGTTCTGGTTCTGCCCTGCTCATTTGGGGATAGTAAAACAGAATACCGAAAAAAAATAATTTTGAGCAAAATAGTGACTCGAGGTGATTATCATGCTTCAGAGAGACATGTTTCAAACTTTTTTTGCTCTTGTTGGCGTAAAAATGCCTGATGATCTTGCTTTGCTTTTAGATCGGATATTCAATGTCTGTGAAGCTGTTCCTGGTTCACTACTCTACCATAAAGTCTCCCAAACACTGATCGCTCGTTGCAAGGTAGGGTTTTTCCCTTTATTTTATATTCACTGTGCTAAATACAAGATTTTCAATATTTGTGTTAGATAACTTCTCTTAATTGTCCATTATTACTCAGTGAACTTAGTTTAGCATCAGTCTTTTTATTTGATACCTTGAAGAACTTTTGGTTTTCACTTGCAAGTCAGAATTTGACTTGTAATGTAAACATGGTGACATTAAATGAAAAGTATTCTGTAAGCCAGCCTAGTGAGGGCTACGGATAATTTTAAAATGTGGAAGTAGCTTACTGCCATTCTTCTGTTTTTATTATTAGGAAGGCTGGGTTGGAATCAAAACGGTCGTATTAAAGAAGCAGCTTACAGCAGTTGACTTCTACAACGGATACATGCACTCTTGGTTCCAGCAGAACTCAAGAACAGTTCATCAGGAATGTAGATTTCAAACACTCGAACTTAGCACGGCAAAAAAGACTCTGAAAGAGAGGGAAATGTTGACGCAGGACATAAAACGATAGATGTATTTAAGTATGTGGAAGAAGATGTCTGTAAGTTAATAGTAATATAAAATATTTCTGTGCCCACCTATAACGTTCAACTTAGCTGAGGGGTTTCCTCCCAAAGGGTTTGATCTTGTCATCTGCGTGTTTTCGTTGTGGGTTCCTGATGGCACCGTTCCCTGTCAAGAAAGAATCTCTGGGAATGCTGAAGATAGCGAATGAATGCCCGTTTCCACTGTTGAGTAATAAATTTATTTTTATACGAAGTTTTCAATTGATTTCTGAGGACTTTTGTTATAAATTTCTTCAACTGTAAGGTGTGTGCGGTCACTTTAATCTGAAATCCTAAAATCCCTTGCTTCTTTGTAATTGGGAATTAATGCTCACTGAGACTCTCAGATTGTCTAGTTTGATACTTTTTTTTTGTGGGCTCTTAAAGTACCTTTGTATCCCCACATGGACGTGATTAAGCCTTAGCTGGGAGCATCTGGAGAATCTTTTCCTTCCATGATACTTAGAGTCAACTACAGTTAACACCAAGGCCAGCAGATTGTTTTTAGTCACCTCCGAGTGATGGGAGCACATCATTTTGTCTCCTTTTAAATTCAGAAAAAAAAGCCACTTATCATGTATGTTTGCTTTTGACTTGTTTTAATCTCATTGATTCTACTTCTAATCTATGAACTTTCTAATCTATAAACTTGTCATTCACCTTGTTCAGTAGATATTTTTTCTGTGATGCTTCTTCTTCTCTGATCAACTTCTTACCTTTCCTATTGTATCATATTGATCACCATCTTTCCCTTCTCTGTTTTGTTTTCATGTCCTAGAATATATCCCACTTAATGCACATCTGCCATCCATCCAGAAAATTTATGTTCTGCTGCCAGACTTTATCCCCGATGAGAGAGGTTTTGACTTTGTGAGGAGCTGTTAATCTAATCTCAGTTTTTCTTCAACCTGCCTTGTACCCGAAGGAGCGTTTCATGTGAAGAACTCCCCAAACTAGTGATTTTTTACTTTATTGTCCTAGAAGCAATGCAGCACTGGGAGAGTAACAGCGAAACAAAGAGCTGCCGCATCTTAGGAGCTGCTCTGGTGTTATTTGCTCAACCTATTCCTGCTTTGTCTGACTATTGCTGAGCCAGAAGAGCTGCTGGAGCTGTTCAGAAGTGAGAATGCACCGGTCTGTTAGCTTCGTAATTACTGTGTTACCCCTGAATTTGGGAAGCCTCAAAAGACAAAAAATTGCTTGGTGTTACAGTGTTTCAGTTTACCTCCTGCTCATGGGTAAATGCCAGCGGCGTCCTCTCCTGCAGGTCTTTTTGGCTCTGGGCTTTTCAGCGCTTTCTCGTGTCTTTTGAAGCAGTCAGGCGTGGAACTTAAAGCTTTAGGTCAGGCATCCAGTTCATGGGCCTTGAGATCGAGGTGACAGGAACTCGCTGTGCTCGAGTGTGATGCGCTGAATGAAAGCAAGCAAAAAGTCGAGGAGAATGCGTGGTTTCACGTGGATTAGAATGTTTCTGAGAAGCATCTGTTAAAACAAATGCTGTGGTGTTTTTCTTTAAATGCCATCCGTCCAACAATTAATTTGCCTCTGACAGGTTTTTCCAGAACACATGATCCTCTGAGAAATCCAAGCCTATGAATCAGAGTCAAAAACTGGAAACAACAGCAAGGTGGAAGTCAGGCTCCTGCGGAGAATTCCTTTTGTCCCTGACCGCAGGCGCGAGGGTGAATTTATGCTGCAGAAATTATAAAACCGGCAAGTTTGTTTCCAAGCAAATGATGTATTTTTATGGTTTGCTCCCACTGACTACTTGCAAGTAAAGGTTGTGAAGTCATTTTTGCTTTTACTCTGTTCAGATCAAGCTATGAAAGGTTAGTTACTGCCTCATGCCAATAGAAGGGGTGGTGGGTGGGATTTTTGTGAATTTGCGGGGGTGGCCTTCAGGGTTTTCTGGGTTTTGTTACATTTCTGGTCTTGGCTGTATTGCTGCTTGCCTTGTGCTTTCCCTGCTGGAGCTTCTGGAATTTTTTCATTGGCTATTTTTAAAGAACAGTCATAGGTATAATTGGAATTCAAATATTCAATGTCTGCTGAGGATAAGAACATTTTCTGTAAAGCCCTTTCCCCGCAGACAGGTTTTTCACACTTATCAGCTCCTTGGCAGGGGTCTGGCCTCAAACATGGATTGTGTCAGAAGCTGAATTAGCAGAGAAATGAGTATACAAAAAAAAAAAAAACACCCAACCCATCTAGAACCTCATCACAACAGCTTATAAATCATTTTAAGCACAGATGATAAAGAATTTTGGACTTGCAAGAAATGTTTTAGTTACCTGTTAGCCTGGGTCAACCCAACTTTTCTGATACAAGAAAAAAAAAAAGACTATGATATCAGAAGTTCAGCAAATCAAAGGTTTAAATGTTTTTGGGTGACCGAAGCATCAAATCAACTGCTTTGTACCTTGGAATGACTTCTCAGGAAAATTCCTTAGAAGCTCCTTAACTACTTTGTGTATTTTTATTTTTTTTTGTGGGTTTTTTTTGAACCTGCTCTGGCAGCTTAAAGCTGACAGCAAAAGAGAAGGTGGTGTCTCCAAAACGGAGAGAACCTCTCGAACAATTTGTACATCTCTCACTGACAGTTTTAGCTTACGCCTCCTGTGGTATCTGTGGCTGTTAGTCACCGCTGGTAGGCGGCAATTTCAGTTCTGACTCAAGCGTAAAGCCACAGCCAAGAGTTTCCCCGTGTCTTTGGGGGAGTGCGAGGTGCCTTGTGCTCAGAAACCCTGTAGGTGGTGCTCGCTGCATCTCTTTTAGGGGGAAACCTAAGGTCAGCTGGACAGAAGGCGGTGGAAAAACTGGTACAGAACATCTTCAGTTTGTCCTTTAATACCAAATAATGTCAAAACCATATTGTAGCCAGGATACCTGCCCTTGTAACTTAATCTTTTGATCTGTGCGGAGTTTGCTTTAAGGCTTCTTGGAATTGCTTTCTGTGCAGGCAGTTTTCAAAGATTAGCCAGTTCTGTCGTTGCTTAACTGTTAATGCCCTAGCTCTGAATAAGCACCCCAGTTGTTTTACGGAGGAAAAGAGAGTAAGAACATTTTATTTTTTCATGGAGGAAACCTTTGGCATGCTTTTTTTGGCGCGGTAGGGAGGCTTTAAAGGGAATTGGTGTTCCCCAGGCAGCTGTTAGCCAAAATGTCTCTTTGGAAACTTTGCTTTCACCTAGCTCTGTAGGGATTTAAATGGAAGAGCTGATTATTTTTGCAGAACAGACAAAACAAAAATGGGGCATTCACTGATGAGGTGTGGAATAGCATGTCAGGGTTGACTCTGGAATGTAGACCTAGTGATTCAAACCCCAGTCCCGCTGCTGAGGGTCGAGTACAGCCACTGTAGCCATTGCAAAGTGATACTGGGAAAATAAAACAGCTGTCCTCCTCTCCAGCGAGAGAGGGAAAGTAGGGGAAGTATTCATAGACCCAGCGTCTGCCACGGCTCAGTTTGAGGTCACTGCAGCCAAATTGCTGGTAGAACCGCAAAACGTCTGGGCACCAGGAGGGCGCTGGCGTTGGATGGCGGTGATTTCATCCTGGATTTGAAATAAATGTTAGAGTGAGTGATATTTCCTAGGATGCTGATGACTCGCAGTTAGGTGCATCTGTTTGACGACCTGAATCCTGCTGCTTCCTAGGAAACATCTTTATTCCTGTTTTCTGCTGAAGAAACTAGAAAAAACCAAAAAGTGTAAGAGACTAATCCCAGGAGTGTTTGAGTCTTTTTGAAAAGTTGATTGCAAAATCCCTGAATAATTTGAAGGTTGAGACTGGACAAAAATACCTCTCCTTTTGTTTATCCTAACTGCTGACAGGCTGATAGCTTCTGGGAAGCAATATTTTCCCTTTCAAAAACAGGAGGGAGGGAACAGGTCACCAGATTTATCTGAGGGTTGGAAACAAAGTGACCTTAATGGAAGATGCTTTGCCATTAGCCGCAAACTTGCCGACACTTAGGAGCCAGGTCTTCTGCTTCAGCCTGTTTCTCAAGGTTGGTGGTCCAGAGGCTGAGGCTGAGGGAGGAGCTGAGTCACAAACCTTCCTGCATTCCTCCAGCTGATGCTCTCCTTTGATATGTGGGTTAGTTTCAGGTTGCAGAAAAGGACCGTTGCTGTACGCTGACCACGAGCCGGGCAAGTGAGAAGTGCTGCTGAGCAGTAAAACTTCGTGTGAGTGGCGGATGTGAGAACCTGCCATAGCTTTGTTTTCCCCATATAAACTTTGCATAGGATTTACAGGTCTGCGTACAACCCTGTTGGCTTCACTGAGGCCATAAACCACCATGAAGCATTACGTTGCATCTTTTGACATGACATTGACCTTAAAAATAACATCACCAAGTACTAGATACATTTTTTTTTTCCTTCTTTTTAATATGTGATCAATCTCTTTTCTACAAAATATTTTTTAATATATTGATTTTCTTTGAGAACTTTGTCTGAAATCTGTATCCTCCCAAGAAATAGAAGTTTATAGCATTATTTGTCATATTATGTTGAGAGGCATCCCTGTCCATGACAGGGAGGTTGGATTAAATGATCTCTAAGGTCCCTTCCAGTCTAGGCCATTCTATGATTCTATGATTTGGCATGGTGTCTCATCAGTAGTGACAAAGTGTTAACACAAAGTGGTGGTTGTTTTCCGGTGATAGCGTTGGAAACCTCTGCCTCACTCCGTGTCCGACATGCTCTGCCAGCAGCCTCCTCTGAGAGCTCAAGGACTTGGTGAGCGCAGATATTAGTTTGTTCGGAATTAAGCTGCAGTGGGGGACAGATTGGGGAAACTTGGAGAGCTTCTTGCCCTTGTTTCATGTAGAGGCAGAATTTCAGGCTGTAGAGCTGTCACCATTTCATTCCCGTTAAACGGATATTTCTCCCCAAAAGGAAGAGCCCCGTATGCCGCTGTGTTTGGCTCTGGGAGCTCGCGTGCAGTGCAGGTACCAGATCCT